AAAAAATCTTCTTAGCTGGTACTGATAGAACTTGTTCCTCTCAGTTTCGGAGGTCGAGAAGCACTTGAGTGATCTGGAGATGGTCTTGCGTCAAGTAAAATGTTTCTTTCTGAGTTCTCTTCCAGTGGGGGCACGCTAAGTGCACCCACTGGGTGTAGTCCCCGAGCCTCTGTCGGACAAGGTGAGTCGGGCAGAGGGTTTAAGTCTACTGGTAAACCTCCACGCAGTCGACATGGTAAATATCTTTTAGTCTGAAATTGAGTAAATCGGATGCATCTTCAGACGCTTGACATGGTAACTAAACTCAGCCTGGAGCTGAGTCAGTCGGACTGATCTTTGTGCACTCGACACAGAATAAATTGAGCCTGGAACTCTGTCAAGCAGTTGAATCTTCGTGCTCTCGGCACGGTGGATGAATTCGTCTTTGAAACTGCCGACTGTAGAAAAAAGTTGGCCACTCTAGGGAGTAATTGTTCCAGTAGTACTTCTTATATTGACCGTTAGATTTGCGTGAAAGGGGTATTTGTAAGAGTACATTGTATCCGTAGAGGAGCTTCATTTTCACCCTTTTGCATGAAAGGGGTATTTGTCCGAGTGGATGTGCTTTCCGACTGATCGGGGTATGTTGACTGCAAGGAAAAACTTGGTGGCACTTGTATGTCTCCCGGAGGAGATACACTAGTGGTCTGACATGGACGTGCCATGAAACCCGAGTGATGAGGCTAGTGTGTGGGGTGACTCTCCGGAGAGAGGCCACTCATTATCCCGGGGGAACACTAGCACATGCCATCTCTGAGTCCAAGTTTGTGAAACTGACGCCTTGGAGCCTTGGATAGGGCCAAATTTATCCGTAGAGGAGCGTTGTTTTCACCCTTTTGCAGTTTTGAAGATGACTTTAGGTAATGATTTGGGTGATCGTCTGAGTGGGCAGTAGTACCCTTATAGATTTTTGGCAGACCGAGCATGTATGGTTAGACAGATATTCCTGATGTGATCAGTGGGTTGATTGAATGGGCGTAATCCTTGAGGGCGTCATGGCCAATGGCTGTGCGTAGCCCCCGAATGCTGCTCGAAAGAGGTAAGCTTGCTACAGAGTGTGATATGAGGTTTGATCATATGAGTAACTTAGTCGTTCCCGTGTTGGGGGTGTAGAGGTAAAGACATGTCCAACTGATGCTGACACGCGAGGCGACCGAGGGGCGATGATGTGTGAGGTGGCCGAATGATGAAGACATGCACAACTGAGTGGCAATGCATGGGGCGGCCGAGTGATGAAGACGTGCACAACCAAGAGACGACGCACAGAGCGGGCCAGTGGTGAAGACGTGCACAACCAAGTGGCGCGGTGCGGGACGGTGAAGTGAAGATGTGCGGCATGGCCGAGTGATGAAGACGTGCACAACTGAGTGGCAATGCGCAAGGCGACCGAGTGGTGAAGACGTGCACAACCGAGAGGCGACGCACGGAGCAGTCGAGTGGTGAAGACGTGCACAACCGAGTGGCGCGGTGCGGGACGGCTGAGTGAGGATGCGCGAAGTGGCCGAGTGAAGGACTACGTGTCTAGCCAAATGGCGATACGCGGGGTGGTCGAGTGACAGATTTGTGTGTCCAGACAAGTGGCTGAAATGGTCTTCAAAGGAGTTAGCCAGATGCTTTCGAAGCTAATGTAGCGACGAGGTTGGTGTAGTATGGTTGCGACACAACAAGACCGGCGTGACAACTGAGTCTGAGTAGGAACGAAGATGGTGTGCATAGCGTCTGGGTGATTATAAAACTTGTCAAAGTGACAGATGGAATGTACTTATTGAAGTGAAGGATCTGACTGGTGATGAAGTACTCGACCACTCAGGAGAGTGTCATTCCAAATGAGATGCAGCTCCCGAGTGCGGCGTAGCCCCCGAGCGTACTATAGGCTTCGACAACGGACATGCCGGAATACGAGAAATATAGT